GCCGCTTGTCGGCGAAGTTAGTACCAAATTTAGTGGATAGAGGTTGTCGCGTGGTCAGCTCAACGAATACCCACGGCCGTTAATTTCGGTTTTCTAGACCGGAGTCGTTATTTCCTTGAAATAGCTCCTCATTTATCCTCACGAGGCTTAGTGGACCCCGTTTCAGACCCACTACTTCTCAGAAAATCTGGTAGCTCCGGGAATCGAACCCGGGACCTCTGGGTCTGTAGCCAGGAACTCTGATTACTAGACCACAGAGGTGGTCATGCGTTTACAAACATGTAAGTCAAAATTAATATGTAACTAAACATCAGGACTTGATGTAACATTAGACTGTGTGCATGGTGTAGTTAGTCTCGCTTCCTCAAAAAGAAAGTCTTCTAGCACACATGTATGGATTTTAATGTACAGGAAGAGAGTAAATCTGTATAACAGAATATGTTTTGAAAGAATATTTTGGGGTTAGGACAGGAGCGTGATGGAGGATAAGGATAGACGTTAATCCCCTGTAAATTATTGAGCTGTACTCTGATATTTTGTAGCCAAGCTTGGCTGCCATTGACTACTCGTTCCTCAGTCAATCGCATGTTTATACAAGAAGGCTGCATCCGCTTTAGAAATGTCATGTGAATTCATTCCACTCGAGAGTCTGTGAATTTACACTGCCGTCGACTGTATGAACTTGATCATTTCTTCAGTTACCTTCTCGTTGTGCTTTTGGGTGATATTTTCTTTGAGATACTGCTTCTCCTCGCGTGAGATTCTGGGGTGTTGATCGGGGGTGTCGAACACGAGCAGCCACCAGGCAACACACCACAACAAGGCGAGGGCACCACTAACATAGAACACGGCTTCCCAACCCCAGGCATTCAGCACCAATCCGCAGAGGGGCATCGCCACTACCGTGCCCAAAGACGCACCTGCAAACGCAACATAAACTCGTGACTCTCCCGTGACTAGCCGTGGGAGGGGCGCGCAGCATGCATCGAGAAATAAAATATTTTTACAGGAAAATTTTAAGAGGAATCTCACTTGGCAAACACAGATGTAGGTAGGTAAAAAGGGAAAGGTAAAGTCGTTCCTGGTCGGTCACGATAGCCGAGCGGTTTAAGGCGTGCACTGTCTTCGCTCGCTCGGAAGCCGGGATTGTGGGTTCGAATCCCACTCAGGGCATGGATGTTTGTGTGCGTTTTTCTGTGTTTGTGTACAGGTAGAGGCCTTGCGACGAGCTGATCACCCGCCCAAGGAGTCCTACCGAATGTGTAAGATCTAGAAAAACCGAAGTGAACGGAGAAGTTCATGGAGGTAGACCTAGGCCCACTGGGGCTCTAGTGCAAAGGAAAAAAAAAAGTCGTTCCTGTGCTTAAATAATTAAGCACTATACCATGAAGACGTATGGGGAGTGGATGTATAGGTCACATTTTCTTAACCTCGGCACTAGCTGGAGGTGAGTGGTCACCTTCACGTCACTGCTACTTTAACCCCGAAGAATAATGCCATCGGTACCCTTTGAATAAGAGGTTGGGTGGACCCCAGTACCGGTATGAGTGACGTGGGAGAGAATTTCTTTTTGATCTTACCAGGACTCAAACTCCGACCCATAGGTCGTCCAGTCCGTAGCTATTTGCTATATCGAATACGCTATCCGGGTTCCACCATAGATGGATGGATATATTGAAATCTATATTACAGATAGTGAGTCTGAAATTAGAGACTGGATTACGTTGGCTCATGGGTGAGTTCTAATGGCCGGGACGTGTGAATATGTTAATTAATTTTCGGATATTACAAAGCATGGATCTGTTGAACAGCTATTCAAGAAAAATATTGCATCATGGAATTTCATACGCAGATCATGTTGGACATTGCGGACCATCGGACACGAAATATCTGAAAGATATTTGAAACAGAAACAACATAGATAAAAGCTTAATATTCTGTTACATTTAGAGTATTATTTTACTTTAATACTTCCGTACTTATACTACCCATTTTCTCATGTTTTTCCTCTGGATACTACTTCTACTCTGTGGTTGCTACAGTCCATGAAGAAACTTTGCCTTTGTTTTACAGTTTTTTTAGTCATATAGAAGTTCTGTCGGAATCCTTGGGCGGGGATCAGCCCGCCGCAAGGCAGGTACCTACACAGGAAAGCAGAAACACAGAATAAACGCAAACATCGATGCTTCGAGTGGGATTCGAAACCACGACTCCAGTGTTTGAGGGGGCGAAGACAGACTGTGCGGTCAGTAATCGGCAAACTGGATACTACTCAATCAATCAACCGATCTATCAATCCATCAGGGAAATTTCAGACTTCATACAGAATTTACGGATTAGAATTTTAATTTGATTTATCCCAGCTGTCATAACGTCTTAGAATTCGGAACCTCTAATCAGACATGTGAATACAATCATGAATGGCAATCTGGGATTGATGAGAGAAAAGGCGGTAGTACCTATTTTAATACGTGTTTCTGAATTTTCCTCAGGATTGCTGGTTTATTGACTGAGACTAAACCAAGGACATCCAGAATATGAAAGAGTTGTCCACAACACTGCATCGTAATATTTTGTCCTTGTAAAATTCACGGAGTTATGGTAGACTGTACATGCAACTGGAATAGGGGAAAAAGAATTGAAAGATTAATACCGGTGGGGAAACTTTGGAAATGCGAACACTTATTATATTAAGATGGGGATGTGTAGGTAATATTAAAAGACATCTTAAGAGAACAAATTTTGAGCTAATAAATTATTTGTGTACGAACCTTGAACGGCAAAAGACATGAACCTCGCTCTCTCAGAAAGGGGTACCCAGCTGATCACAGCAGCACTGAGGGCCGGGAACACCACACCCTGTGTCAAAATACAGTGTACGTACCAAAAGCTATTTCGTTCAATAAACATGGATTTCAACAAATATTTCTAGAATTCTAACTTAGAGATCAATACTTCAGGATGTCGTCAAAATTGGGGGTGTTTGTAAGATGGATTTATATACCGCCCCATAGCTCAAGCGATTAGTCGCTGGCTTCCCACTGCGGCGGCCCGGGCTCGATCCCGCGTCTGGTAAAGTATGATTTGTGGTGGACAAAGTGGCGCTGGGGCAGGTTTTCTCCGAGTACTTCGGTTTCCCCTGCCAATCTTCATTCCACCAATTGCTTCACAATCACCCTCACCTATCATCTGGGGCTGGTACAATAGGCCAGAAGTGGCCGCAGTACAAGGGACTTAGTCCCACCCCACTAACAATAATAAAAAAAGATGGATTTGTAGATTAACAATTCAGGGTGCAATGGTATAAAGACCTGGATACATCTCCAGCCAGTTCCGTCTCGAATTGTAAATTTAACCATCCATATTGCACGAGATATTTGTTTTCTCCGCAGCGTCCAGATCGGTCCAGATCGGCTTTGGGGCCCACCCAGGCTCCTTGCCCAGTGGGAGCTTTCGCTGAGAAAAGAAATTAAATTTAGCTGGTGTATTAGTGTGTTTGGACTTTTGCGAAAATGGCTATAAGATGGAATCCCAGTTGAATTAATATTTCCTTGCATTTGCAAATAAAAAAAATTAAAATTTTTCCATGTGTTTAAATAAGAGCTATGCCATGAATGTATGGGGTGTGGAGGTATAGCTCAACGCATTCATAGCTTCGGCACTACGTGGAGGTGAGTGGTCAGTTTCAAGCAACAACTAATTTTCTGTTGAAGAAATATTCCCTGCACTCATAAAGTAGGATTGTTGGAATCCAGAACCGGCCTGGACGCCATGGAGAAGAGAGGTATTTCGAGCCTTGCTAAGAATTGAACCTCGTACCCCCTGTAGTTGAATCAGTAGCCTAGTCACCATACAAACTGAGCTGCCCCCCTCCACAACCGTAAGAATTTTGTTACAAGTTATTATTATTATTATATTTTTTCTAAATCTTATTAAGCACAAATTTTGTCTGTGTTAAATTTGTCAATTTTTGCGATATTTCTCTTTTGGTAATAATTGAGAGCTGAGAAATACTATTCGTACAGAGTTTGCTGATCTGTAAATGATCTATCGTTATACAACATTTAAAATGACTATCTCCAACATTTTATTGGCTACGACCCTCAAATTGAAAGCTAAATATAGATTTCATATAACATACATTATGTTGCTTACACTCTATAAAATCATTATAGCAACAATAGCTAGATATTTTAGAAGCTCTATTAGAATACACCGTTTCAGACCCCCGTAAAGAGTGGGGCTACTGAACCCCACCACGTTACAAGCTCGTGCATCAGCCACGTTATTACATCGTAATGCTGATTCTATTAAATTAATATTTTCATGGATATTGTGAATTCGAGTGTCATAACATTCAAACGAACTTTTGTGAAAATTGGCCAAATGCCTCAAAAGTTGAAATTGGATAAGTACAAATTGACACAAACACAGAGAATGGTGATCTCATAACCCTACTTGTTTCTCTGAAGGGAGAAAAATGTGATATAAATAAATACTGCTTTTTATTATGAGAAAGAAGGTACGAACTGAGAACTATGCGCCATTTTGGTAGTTACTGCCATCCACAGGAAAACACTTGTTATTCTGACAGATTACATTCAAATGGTGCCGGGTTGAATCCCGAGCGATGTCACTAATTCCAAACAAAACTCATTAGTATAATGACAATATATCTCTTGGAGATAGGAGTACAGCCACTTTCAGAAGTGTCGTGCACCTTAAGTCCATACTTGTATCAAACACTGGACAGTGTAGAAAACAATCATGGTACTATGAGTGTGAGAGGGTTGACTGATCATTTCCAACATTTAACAATGGATCTACATTACGAAGCATATGCACACGTCCTTTAAGTCACTCATAAGTAAACTCCGATTGATTACTTCAGTTTATTTCACTTAATACCATCCATATATTACATGGAACCAGTGTAACACGCGAAATCTTAACCGACACCAAATTAAGTCTACAAGATTTTAATAATTTAATACTTAATTTTATGAAATATAATTATCGTGAAAACTGACCCATTTTAATTTACAGTTCAGTGGTTATGTGCTTTATTTATGAATCATCTGATGATGTATACTATTAAAACATTCTGTGGTAAAGAAAAATACAAATTAATATAGACATTTCTATTAATCGTTATTTGTCTTTATTAATTCTATTAATAATTTATTGTGTAGGGGATTTGTATGATATAAAATGAGGCAATTTTTGTGTGGTTCGATTCCCTTCACGGGTAAGGACATTTTTCTTCACCAAATTTTAAAAATTAACTCGTAGACCAAACCTAGGTTCCTTTTCATTAGGTGCTGTGGACAGCCTTCTCTGAGGTAATGCTACTTGGCTACTTGGGAGTGAAGTTTACCATTCATTTCCGTTTATTGCCGAAGATAAGTGTGTGTGGAGCTGCACCTCCATTTCTCCACCTCCATGCCTAATGACAAAATTCATACTCTATACGTTTATGAGCAACCATTTAATATTACTGGAATTTTAAATACAAGATAAGTCCGAATATAAGGCGATCCATCATTTTAACAATGAGAAAATCAGAAAATGATTTGCGGCAAAAGAAATTCTTAGGAACCCGAGAATTAGGCAATCACCCCTTTCTAAGAGATAGTATAAAAACGCTTTCTTTATATTCGGGCTAATACTGTCTAAGTTTCTATGGTGATACGTAAATATATACTGTAATGCTAACAAGGAGATAGGTCTTGTCTGTGTCAGTCTGTATGTAACGTACTTGGGCCAGACCTTGCAGGGCCCGGGTGACGAGGAGCAGGGTCCAATGTGTCCTCGCCAGGAAGGGCAGTACGAGGGACAGGACCCCATTGATGAGCACCGCCCCACCAAACACTCGTTTGGCGCCCACCACTTCGGCTACTCGACCTCCAGGCACTTGGAAAACAAGGTAACCCCAGAAGAAGGAGCTGAGGATGACGCTCTGCTCCACCTCGCTCCAGTTGAACTCGCCATGTGTCCCGCCCTCCACCTGCGTACACACACATAACTCACTCGCGCACTGAGCAAACAGCTGGCCCCGGCCCACGCTCTGTCACCGATTTTTAATTTGTTTACTTCTTGCGCAAAACACGGGACGTTCATAAAAGTGGTTCATAATCCGATTGCTACGATCTTAAATTGTAAACAAACAGGGTCCCCTGCGCACAGGCTTAACCTGTCACTTTCAATATCGTTTTACACAAAGTGTCCATTATGATCTCTATTCGTCCAAATAGCGTGGCTCTTAATAGCAACACAATGAACATACCAAATACTACAATTTCTTTATTAAAATGTCACAACACAACTATATTAAGGTCAGTGCCTAGTTTGGTTCTGCTACATGTTTCGGCTACCAAAAGCCATCATCAGGCAAATACATGGCCAACATATATACACCACTGAACTGCAGTACCAGTAAAATTGGATACAATAATATTAATTACATTAAAATACTTGGCGTAAAGTAAAATAAATTAGACTATATAAAACGAAAGTTATAATATAAAACATGATAAAAATTCTTCAAGTGATGCATTACATCAAAGAATTAGTCGTTGGTTTTTGCAATTTTGTTGTGTTCACATGGACAAATTGGAGTATTCTATATTTTGTGTATATATTTTAACGTGTTTTGCCACTGAAGACGCCGTTCAGATTGTTAATTGGTTTATTTAACAACCTACAAGTCTTGGCTACAATTAATTATAACGCTGTTACGGGTTTCCACAATTTACAAAATAAACTGTTTGGGGGCTCGTGATGTAGATGTAGTAACATTAATGTTAATTATTTAGTCGGTGCCTCATCTTACAAACTACTGTCCATTCTGTAGGGAATGTAAACAACGACCAGCTTCTCATTACACATTCACTAGATTAGGTTTTATTATGTTTTATATTTTATAAATATAAACGGTAGTCTATAAAAGATAAACATTATTTTTAAAATGAAGCCATTATTTAACACCATATGCCTATTTATATGTATTAGTACATTTTCCATATTATAAAGTTCATGTCATGTATTGCCTTCAAATATAGAAATAAACATATCAGTCACCAAGTTTACCAACGAGCTATGTCGGGTCAGGAACGTAACCTATGTGTTTAACATACTGAGTATACTGGAAAATATCTTCGAATTGCGCGATTCTCTCTCAGGTGGGGTTACTGAGAAATTAATGCATCTGTGGCGCAAATCGTGACGTTCATGTAATCAAATGTTTGTTGTTATAATTTTATTTGAACACTTGCTCATCCGGTCTTACCTGCAACTGAAACAGCGTTCTGTTTGCAAGCATCCATGCTTCCTACTGGAGTACTGTTAAACGTGAGACGCAATAGGACTCATTGTCACTTGTCACAAGAGAAATAAATGAAGTGGACACTTTACTGTCTGTGCTTAACAGATACTGACATTTCGTCTCTCACGTAAGTTGCTGATTTGTAAGGCCGGCGTGGAAGATCACCTATGAACATTTATAATTCAACAGATTGGTGGTTACGTTATACCACGGCCGCGCCATAACTCAAGCGGTTAGTCGCTGGCTTCCCATCGCGGCGGCCCGGGTTCGAGCCCGGGGTCTGGTCAAGTGGAATTTGTGGTGGACAAAGTGTCGCTGGGGCAGGTTTTCTCCGAGTACTTCGGTTTCAACTGCCAATCTTCATTCCACCAATTGCTCGACAATCACTCTCGCCTATCATCTGGGGCTGGTACAATAGGCCAGAAGAGGCCGCAGTAAAAGGGACTTAGTCCCACCCCACTAGCAATAAAAGAAACGTCTCGATAAGGAATAGCAAACACTGGTCTTCTCGTACAGTACAATATTTTTGTCTGAAACTTATGTTGCACGACACACGTAAATCTACTACATGTTCGATTTATTTATTTATTGTTTATTTAAGACGCTGGTATTTTTTAGATTATAGAGCATCAGTTAATATAGGGATTAAATAATAATAAGTTGGTAGGGATGTGGAAGGACAAGGTCGTAGCTTAATTGATGTATTATCCCGGCATTTTCCTGAGCGGGCTTAGGAGAACCACGAAAATATCTCAGTTTAGTCGATGTCCTGGTCGAGATTCGAAATGAGAATCTCCCAAATGAAAATCAGAATCAGTAAAACCTGAGTGAAACTTCCCTGTATTATTATCACATTCTTTTTTCCACGCCGAAGTCATCAGAACTGCCACTGATTACGCGAAAGTTGAAACAGGAGGGACATTGGAAGGAGCGATCTGAGGTAAACCATAAGACGCCATACGAGTGCCATCTGGTGGAAATCGTGTATAAAACAACAGGGTACATTTTGAAAGAGAGTATAATGAGAAGAGGCACTGTCGTGCCAAACCTCCAAGCAGGTGACTCATGATTCGAACTTCCTGACTTATGTTATCCCAAGCCAGAAGAGGTCCCTATAGCTTAGTTCAGCTGGCAAACCTCTTCCATTTTCATTCCAACACCCACACCGACCCAAGTGAGATTGGAACTGTAGCATTAGGTTTTGGTTCTTGGCAAACCCGACCTTAAGCTACAGATCATTAAATATGTATTTGTCTGGCTTTGTTTCTTTTCGTAACGTCTGCATATTAACCACCCAGATTATGTAGACCTAATATAAATTGGAAGGTTGAGGAATGAATATGGGAAACTTTCTTCAAGATAGAGGCAGGAGGCTCCACAAAACGTTCCTATCCATCTACAGATCTGCACAGCATCACATTCCAGAATATCTGATCTTAATTTATTGTTTATTTTGTATTTATCTGTTTTAACGACGCTTTAATAATTCGGCTTCAGACTACAGAGCATCGGGTAGTTCCTAAATAATTAAATGGAAAAGTGTGGAAAGAAGCGCTAGTGCGTTAATTTGAGTCACTGGCCTTGGGGGATAAACGGCACAAAAATAAAGTTGTCTATATGTTTAATTAATTGAACACCAAGCCTTGAAATATTTTTTCTCCTCTCGCTCCCACTTCGGAGCGTAGGCCTGATTTATGAGTTTCATGGTCATCTTTATAGACGGTAGGGAGCCTTGGACGGGTGATCAGCTCGTCGCAAGGCCTCTACCTAAATACATGACAACACAAACACAGAAAAACGCACATACACACCAAACATTCATGTCCTGAGTGGGATTCGAACCCACGAACCCCGGCTTCCGAGCGAGCGAGCGAAGACAGTACATGCCTTAGACCGAGCGGCTATCGTGACCGGCATGAAGGCATATAGGGTAGTGAAATTATAGTTCCATTTTTCTTAACCTCAGCACTGGTTGGAGATGCGTGGTCAGCTTCACGCTCAGGCCACTTTTTCCTCGGGGAAACAGCCTCCAGTATCTACTGGATAGGAAGAAGATTGGATCCCATGGCCGTTTTCGACGCTATAGAGAAGAGAAAAATCTTGGCCTTGCCGGAAATCGAAACCAAGCCATCTAGACCATAGTCCGACCTTGCGCCAAATGAGCTATCCTGGCGTGGAGGAACCGAGAATAAAAGGAAAGAAACCAGACCAGGATAAGGAGTCTCCCATATTTCCTAAATAAGAAGGAGCCCCAACCCCTCTACATCGGCTTTCGCTCTAAATTATTCCATGCTCTCAGCTCCTCATGCGTACTGCATGTCTCGATGAGGAGCTGAAAATTCTGAAGTTCTTACTAACGCATTTTCCTTCATCCTCTTTTTACTTTTTCTCTGTTAGGTATAAATATCCTCCACATTACTTCGTTTCAAATATCGTCAATATTTTTTCTCGCGTCTGGGCGACAGTCTAATTTGATTCACATAAAAAGAGAAAATACTGTAGTTCAGCGTGAATTATCTTTAGTATGTATGTCAGCACTATGTTTACATCCTTCGCCCATATAATTATCTGTACATAAATCCATTTTGATAATAACTCAGTCAGTTTTAACTAGTTCAGTTGTATATCTGCGAAGTCTACTGTTCAGTATAAAAGTTCAATGAACGACTAAACATTGTGCAACAGTTGACGTATCCTCAACTTACATTTCAGAGTTAATTAAAAACAAAATATGCTTGAAGATTCACATGATTAATTTCCGCAATGAACATACATTTTGTTATGTAAATACTAACAGAAAGGTTATGTTTTATTTTCAGGAAGGACCTTGATTGCTATAACGAATTCACTGATTATCTGCTGACGCAAGAATCAAAATAATTTCCTGCTGACAGCCGTTACATTTTCGAAGCTGCAAACTTTTTCATTATTAATAAATGTAGACATTGTTGATAAAGCTTCTTTCACACAGGCCTCTGTTTCTGACCTACCGAATAATGAGAGACTGAGGTATGTTGTCTTTCGAAGTATAGGACCAAGAATAGCCGAAAATAAATTAAACAAATATTCCTTTAACAGGAAATGTAGTAGTAATAGTTGATTGCAGAGTTATGATACACTGTCATATGTGATGGTTTTATCCCCCACAAATAAGAAATCTTATTTTAATCGACACAGTTAACAATGTTGCTTTCTTTCCTGTCACTAATTTTTCACTACGTCTCGGCTCTATGTATTCTGAATTGTTGCCAGCGTCGTTAACCAAACTACAGAAAAATAAAATACTTTCTGGACCACCATTTACACTATTGTCACTACAGTAACACTAATTATTAGAGATCTAAGTCGCTATTTTACACTAAATTCACATGTTCGTACATTTTGAAACTTGCAGTTGCTTACGGAAGGGAGTTCAGTAATATTATCTCTGTGACATGACCTTAATATGAATTTCAATGAAGATCATTTTAACGGTCAAACCATTAATGAGGGTCAAAGAGCATTGAGCAAAGGCAGATATCTTCTCATAACTTTTCTTCAAAATATGGGTTTAAACAATTCTTTAAATTGACTTTAATCTGTAGACTGTTCACAACAGTGTAGTCCAGTGACGTTAGAATGATGCTAACATGGGTCAGAGTCTTGATAAGACAATAGTCACTCGTTCAAGAAGTTCTCCGATTTCATGAAACCGGAAGCTTTTTCTCCCGGATTCAAATTACCCACAGTTGGAGCTAGATTTTAATTAATTAATTAGGTACCAATTTCCAATCAAAGTTGTTCTTCCTGTTACCCTGATCGAGTTTTCTTGTTATATTCCGAAGTTACACCAAGCAAATGCCGATGTAGTATTTCTTCCGAATAGGCCACAACCACTTTTTCAAGAACCTTGTCCCTTACGCATGATTATTTTCCAATCACATTGCACAGAGCTGTTAAGTAACTAAATCAACTACTTTCACCGCAATGTCTGTTCCTCAGGTTATACTATCCTCCGTACAGCGTTATTTATTCCATAATTCTATATATAATAAAATCATCATGGTGCTGCGTGAGATTCTGGTAACACAGTGTGCTGACAAAGTAGCATTAATTCTACCAGTAGATGGATCTGCAAACAGTGGTCTCTCTGTCTTCAGTTTTCATCATGTTCATAGAAAATAGAAAATTTTGAAGAGGTTCTTGTATTTTTACACTATTGGATGTTATGATTGGATTGTGAACATGCAATGGAGGGGCGGAGATTGCATGATAATTTTTATATTTTTACTTATAGGGATAGCGTGACCAGTAAACTTGTAACACAATGAAGATAATTATGAGGAGACATTTTGACAGTGCATTGCTTTGTTTGCACGGAAATAACTTGACCTGTTTATTGGTAGAGACGCTGCCATCGGCCGGCAGACAGGTTCCTGAAGAGTTGGACTGTGTGCCCTCACTTGTCAGGTCGAGACTCGTGCTGTTCACCATGCCCACAATGGCCAAGTTGATGTTGACTCTCAAAATGAACGTGACCGTTATGCCCAGGAAGAACATGAGGCAGAGCAGGTATCTGGCCGCAATGCGGTCTGTGGGCAAAACAGTTCGGTTTAATGTCTGATGGTCTGTAAGAAGGGTTATTACTCAGCTCCGAGCCAAGAGGATGGAGGGATCCGAATGTACCCAGAGCCATCAGAGAGTAAAATACAGCCATGAGACCGCCTCTGTGGTCTAGTTGACATGTAGAAGACTTTGAGATGTGAATATTAACATATCCACGAAGTTGCACAAAGATGGCAAAGAGAGAAAACACGGAGTTTGTAATTTCGACACTGTGTTGCGTTCTGTAGACATGTTCTAGTCCTGTTTCTTTTTTTTAAGAGGTTTCATGAGAATGTACGTGGAAGTTGGCAAGAAGAAAGTCACTGTAAAACTCACCTCTCACTCTGCGAATCCAGCCCATGGTACGGCGCTGTTATGACAGGACAGGCAAATTGCTTTCGCGTCTTCTCGCGGATGAATCACAAACGCTACTGGTCAGTCAGTCACATCTGCTCCTCACTTCTCCAGTGCACCAGACACAGGAATCCTTCCGAATACAGGCTGGCTCGTTGCCATGACAACCTTTAAATAGAAGACGTTTATGGAGCCATGTTACGGTAATATTGACTGTTTTAATGAGCTGGTACAATGAACTACTCTTTCAGCGGCTGCCCACGTGAATTCCAAATTCTGCACCCCCATCACCTGGCTTGTTAACAAGAATTGTTGCGTCATCCTCCTCCAAGTCCGAACCGGCGCACTAAAGTTCGCGAGATATGCCAACAGTTTGTGTAGCTTGTGTAATATGCGATTACCAGCTGCAGAGTGAGCTGATGTTGATAGTACATGTTATAGCAACGACTGTGGGCGGTGACTTCAGAGAAAATGATAAAGGGACTGATATTAGCTTTCATTTGAAGGCATTTCTTCGGAATTTGCCTGAAGAGGCTGAAGAAAGTCACACCTGTACTGAATAATACCTCGGAACAGAATTGTGTTCGAAAGTGCGTGGGAACTACAGTAGGCATTGGTACACGATCTTCACGGTAACCGTGGCTTTTATGCTTTTTTAATACTAGTCATATCTACAGCCATCACTTATTATCTTCAGCAACCTTAAAACAAAGTAGCATTGGCTTATGACACAGAGGCATTACAAGGAGTACCAGTAAACAGATAAATAAATAAGTGATAATTAAAACGTGAAATAATATATGAAACTAACCAAACAACCAACCAACCAACCAAATAACCGACTGACCAACTGGACAATTGACCGACTAACCAACTGACCGTCCGACTGACTGACCGACTGATCGAATGACCGACCGACCAACAAACCAACCATTCAAACAACCAACCAATCAACCAATTACCCAACCAACTACCTACCTAACTAATTAACTAACTAACTAACTATTATCTTTATTGTTAGTGGGGTGGGACTAAGTCCCTTGTACTGCGGCCATTTCTGGCCTATTGTACTAGCCCCAGATGATAGGTGAGGGTGATTGTGGAGAAATTGGTGGAATAAAGATTGGCAGGGGAAACCGAAGTACTCGGAGGAAACCAGCTCCAGCGCCACTTTGTCCACCACAAATTTCACTTGACCAGACCCGGGATCGAACCAGGGCCGCCGAGGTGGGAAGCCAGCGACTAACCGCTTTAGCTATGGAGCGGTCTAATTAACTAACTAACTAACCAACTAAACTACTAGCTGACGGACTAAATGTCAAGCACAGAATTTTAAAAAATCAATAATCTCTTAGTTATTCAGGAAGTGCCCACGGTTTACGTAAAGTAACCCGAAGGCTTGTTTCGATATCCATAACAGACTGCCATGAAAGGTAAATAATGTATTAGAAGTTTAAACAAAATCAAATAAATACGGACTAAAAAGTAACCATTGAAATGAATGCGGTAAAAGAAACAAATTCTTCTTAGAAACAATGTCCTTGTAAGAGACACTTTTTCCAAACCTAGGTCTAAACGTATGAAGTTAAAACACAACAAACATCTTAAATTTAACAAGGTATCAAATTTCGATATATTTTATTAATACAATAATTAATTTATTAATAATTGTATGTGTCTATAAAATTTATGTTTGAGGTTGCTGTACGTTTTATAGCTAACTCGGGTAGTTTGGTTTAGTGAGCAGAAAATTTAACTTTAATTTTACTTACATAATTAACTGGAATTAAACTTTAGGTAATAGAAGGTGTCTGATGATCTAAATTATGGGTCGAAACATGTAGAAAGAAATACGTTCTTATATTAAATTAGCAAGATACATATCGACATCTGCTTTCGTCTTCACCCGAATATATACCTCTTTATTGTTTTGTTGACGGTCATAACCATAAGATATAAATGAAATGAATACTAAATTACAGATATATCAATAACAATAGCATAAGACAAACAACACATGTCGCAGCGGAGGCCAGTTGTCTCAGAGAACCGGCGGCATGTCAGTATAACATGAGTTCTAGGGAAATGTTATAATGGGGGAGAAAGAAGTCCAATGGAGATAATTCTTTACATTTATTGGTGAAACAGATTTTTGTGAAGACTCTGATCATCAAAGTCACAAAATAAGGTCACCCAAACATTTTTCACAATCACACTTTTTTAAACTTTGACTTCAGTAATGTTATCAACCCTAACATATAATCGATTAGAAATAACAGTGCATTTAATAGGGAAGTCGCGCCATAGCTCAAGCGGTTAGTCGCTGGCTTCCCACCGCGGCGGCCCGGGTTCGATCCCGGGTCTGGTCAAGTGGGATTTGTGGGAGACAAAGTGACTCTGCAGAGGGTTTTCTGAGAGTACTTCGGTTTCCCCTGCCAATCTTCATTCCACCAAATTCTCCATCATCATAATCACCCGTGGCAGGCTACAATAGGATAATCAGTGGCCGCCGTGCCAAGTGGATCCAGCTGGACTTCACCCCCCACTAAGGGAATTAAAAAAACATTTAGTAGGAAATTCTGATTTGTATGAAAATGCTCATCGTTAAGAAATCAAACCGAAAGAGACAATATTACCAAATCCCTCTCTCTTTCCTGTTGCTTCCACTTGGAGCACAGGGCATCCGAGAAACGCTTTGTTTCACTTCAGTTTCTTAATCTCAGACAGTCGGCAGGACTCCTTAGATGGGGAATCAGCCAGTCGCCAGGCCGCTAACTACAAAACACAGAATAAACGCAGACATACATCCATGCCTTGAGTGGGATTCGAACCCACGATCCCAGTGTTCGAGCGGGCGAAGACAGTTCATGCCTTAGACAGCGCGGCCACTGTGATCGGCGAATAACAAAATTAGGGATAGAAAACAGTTTATTTAACGACTCTGTACCAATTACAGTGTTTATTTAAAACCCAGTAATATGAGACGATACTGACCACAGTGGCCGCGTGATCTAAGACAAGAACTGTCTTCGCACGCTCAAACACTGGGATCGTAGGTTCGATTCCCACTCAAGGTGTAGATGTCTGTGTGGTTTTATCCTGTGTTTGTGTTATCCTATGTAGGTAGGGACCTTGCGACAGGCTGATCCCCGTCCAAGTGGTCCTACCGACTGTCTGAAGTGAAACAAAGCGTTCCTCTGTTGCTGTATGTTCTCAGTGGCAGCTACGGGAATAAAGAGAGAGAGAGGAGAGATGAGATGATGACGTGTGTTCTTGTAGGGAACTGGACAGGAACAGGTTACTGTTTTCGCCTAGAGGGACAGAGGAATACCATGAGAAAATCTCAGGATAATGTGTGTCGTGACCAAAGTTGGAATCGAGCAACTCCGGCGTACAAGCCAAGAGCCTTACCATTTGGGCCAACTTGCCCATCACCAAATGGTGGATTGGGAAAATTAAATTACTCAAAATTTATGATGATGATAAGAAGAATAGCTGCATATCACCTGATGTTCTTAAGACAATTAGCTATAATTCTACGGCTTCCTAATTTATTTAACGACTTCCTGTCAACTATACAGGATCAAAAATATTCGTGTATATGTAAGACTATTGATTTGTATCCGCGAAATATCAGGATCTGATCCGGGTTGGATATCCGATAGACAGACTAAGAGATTTTTATGATTTTCTTGTCTCTATAGGTTAATGCCAGAACAGTGCTTTCAAACAGGTCATATTTTTTTTCTAAATCTTTATGTACCCAATGTTTATGAATATATAAACACAAATTGGAAGTTCAGAGCAACTTAAGCTACGTTTTCAGCATGACGCAGGGAGACACCGGCTCGTCCTTGAAGTTCTTATGTATTAATAATGGTTATAATTCATACTCACATATGTGCAGAATCTTGGTGTTTATGGTATCCACTGCCGGCTTATTACTCCAGATAAGTTTACTTAAGACACTATTAAATTCGTTTTCATGTTCCAGTCATGTGTTGCTTACGTAGCAATTGCGTCAACACATTTCTGTTATGCGCATCCGGGTACCTCACTATGGAACAACACGCACTGAATTCTCACGAACATGCAGCACTCACGAACTGAATGACACAGTAAAGTTGGACAGTATCTGTGGTCTCTTTTATTTAAAATATTTTTTCGGAGACTGAACTCTTGATTTCGTCTTCCGGTAAAAAGTCTACTCAGTTCGGCACATTCCATACAGCCAGCCATGATCTCCGACATTGTTTTTAAATAAAAATTGGGACAATATATAATATTAAAAAAGCCAATAAATATATTAATATTTGTCTATCTGTGGCTCTACAGCCCCTGTGCACCTTGACCGTTTTTTAAGTATCTTAATTTATATACAGTCAATAGTACTCCCTGGACAGGGGGATCAGCCAATAGCAAGGCCGCTACCTACACACAGAACAACACACACACAGTGTAAACGTACACAGAATTTGAGTGCTCGAACGGGTGAAGACGGTTCATGCCTTAAACCTCGCGACCACTGTAATCGGCATTTGTATTAATATAGCATCGTTAAAAAAGTTGTATCTTATGAGGAAGATAGATAGAAACAAAATGGAATTGATTCTTACTATGTATATTGAAATTACATTTATTTGATTCACCTTATTATATGTGTAAATTGAAATAATTCTACTTTAAAGAAGAGGAAACTCTGTCATGAAGTTTCACTAAATACTTGCTCTAGATGGAAGATCTCCAGCCGACTACTGTAGTCCCGTCAGACTGCAAAACTTGGGGAGCATAAAGAAGGAAAGCTGTAATATTTTTCTTCGAATTAGATACATGCAGTCTCTAACCTTTTTTATGTCTAAAACATGTCTGTGCAGACGTCACGCCATGAATAGGCAACCATACAGAAAAAAAGTTATGCGTATTCAAAGGCATCTCCGCTATGGTGACTTCCGTTCCAGACATATGTTTAAAACAAGATCTTCTAACCTCCTCCTTAAGGCCGATCACAGTGACCGCATGATCTAAGGCATGAACCGTCTTTGACCGCTCAAACACTGGGATCGTGGGTTCAAATTCCATTCGAGACATGGATGTCTGTGTTTATTCTGTGTTCGTGCTGTCCTGTGTGTAGGTAGCGGCCTCGTGACGGGCTGATCTCCCATCCAAGGAGTTCAACCGTCTGCTGTGTAAACCGTATCTTGTGATCAAGAATATAAGAAAAACTACCCCCATAGTGGA